ATCTCCCGATATGTTGACCTTCCCATACTTAAATCATTAAAAAAAAAGTATATTAAGCAGAGGGAAATTTGAATTAAATAGACAATGAAATACTGCCACATACCCACTACCATGAATAAAATTTTAAAAGATAGTACCAACTGTTGGTGAGGATGTGGGACAACTGGAACCTTCCTTACACATTGCTGGTGAAATTGTGAAAGGGTACGATCAGTTTGGAAGACTGTTTGATAGCTTCTTATAAAGTTAAGTATGCATTTACAATACGACCCAGCAATTCTACTCTTAAATATTTACTCAAAAGAAATGAAAACACATGTATTTGTACACAAATTTATTGAGAATAACTAAAAATTGGAAATAAAATGTCTAGCAACAAATGCCTAGATAAGCAAATTATGGCAGGTTTACAGTGCTATGGTGTTAACTACTACTCAGCAATTAAGCGGATTAATTACTGAAAAATGCAACAGCATAAATGATATTATGCTAAGCAAAAATGCCAGCCACAAAAACATACAAGCTATAATATTCCATTGCTATGAAGCTCTGGAAAAAGTCAATTTAATCTACATTGACAAAAAGATCAGAAGTTGCCTGGCACTGAGGATGGAGAAGATTGACCTGGAAGGGGCACAAGGACAATTGAGGGAGAGGCTCATAAAAATATTCTTTATCTTTATTAAAGTGATTACATGAATATATAAATATATCAAAATGTATTGAAATATAGACATAAATGGTCAGAATTTATGTCATGTAAGCATTATTTCAATAGTTAATTTTTTAAAAAAGTATCTTTGAAATGGAATCAAATTTTATGTAGCCTTATTTTTTTCTTCTTTAATTCATAATGAGGTAATATATCTTTTATTTTGAAAATACGAGAAGAAAAATAATTATGGAAGCAATTACTGAAACCATATGGTTTTCTGGGTTTTTTTAGGAGTTAAGACAATATTAACAATATCATTTTATATGTCTATAAAAAGTCTTATCTCTGTGTACTTTGTATTATTATGTATATATAAAATATCACTTGATAGCAGTATCTGTACTTGGAAGATCCTTTTTACCTGGCTTAACTGTTAACTCTGAAATATAGGCTCCATTATAGATCTCTCCCAATTCTGAAATTAGGAGCTTTTGCTAACCAGCTTCAACACACACATACACACACACACACAGATGTGTATGAGTTCAGGAATCCACTGTCTAAGTTGATATCTGTCCTGTGTTCCCCAAGAGGAAAGCTGGGAGCTCTGAGCAGCTGTATGGATGCCCGTGAAAAGTATGTCCCCATTTCTGCTTCTTTCTAGGGGCAGTGGGGAAGATAAAATAGGACTGCCAGATGGCTACAACTCATTACTGCCTGGCAGCAGTCAGGGTGGAATGAGAGTGAATTAATCAGCATTCAGGAGGAATGAACGGCAAGGGGCGATGTGTGTTGATGCTATTTTAGCTCAAGTGAAATTAAACCTGTAGAACTGACAACATGCATTAATCTCCCTATAGCCTCCAGTAGCTGGGCAAATGAGCTCCTAGTTTCTTTATACAAACAGCTGTTATTTTCCTGTTACTACCTTGGCAAAAAGTACTAGTAATGGCCTGGTAGGTTACCCTTCGTGATTAATACAGACGTGTGCAGTATACTAACTTGGCTAATGATAGAACTTAGCCTATATTATAGCAATGAGTCTCTAAACTGCAGCTCTCTGACAGAAAGCAGAGTTTAGGCAAAGCAACAGACAGATTTGTCAATCATCTCAAACACTCAGGTTTTAATGAACATTGTGGATTTATTATTTGGGATATTGTAGATGTTACAAAGACTTTTTTTCTAAAGGGAAATTGAAATGAAATTGTGGTTTGTTTTAAAAAGCATTCTAGGGCCTCCCTGGTGGCACAAAGGTAAAAGACAGTGCTGTCAAGCAATTGGCAGCCACTGCAGCATGAGTTCAAGTCCTGGCCAGGCAGGGAGCAACCCACATGGAACAGCAGACCTCTCCTGTCTCGCCCGCTACTCCCCTCAGCAGTGTATTTCAGTAGATCTGCCTGTTCTGTGCCCCATTCTCTCTGGTGAATACTCTCACCCTGCATACCTCTGGCCTGTACCCCAGTTCTTGTATGCATAAACAAAAATCTTTAAAAAAAAAGCATTCTAAGTTATATTTCAAAGTTCAGCTACAGTTCTGTAAAGGCATTACATTGGATTCTCTTCTCTGTGACATGTATTTAGGAATAAAACTTAATACAGAAAAAGTTTAACTCCCAGTTAAATAAAAAACAACATATAATCAATTGATTGTATTTAGGTTAAATTTTCTTGCTCAGTTAAATTTTTGTTTTAAAGGGGGAATTTTAAAAAAAGCTTTCTATATTGTGGTTAGTATATCCAGATATATAGTAAAAATGCATATGAAGGGCTACGAAGCTGCCCATGGCCTCTGCAGTGCCGGTTCGATCCCCAGCCACCGGGCGAGGGTCCCACATGGCGTGCAGACATCTCCTGCTGCCCACTGCTCTCCTCAGCAGTGTACTTCGTCACTCTGCCTGTTCTGCTCTCTGCTCTGGCTCTGGTGAATTCTCTCCCCCTCCCACGCTTCTGACTATACCCAGTGCTTATATAAATAAATAAATAAATCTTTAAAAAAATTTTAAAAATTCATATGAAAATTTTATGCTATTAATTTCATACATGCTAGATGAACCATTCCCATCAGGGAAAGCTACAAAGAAGGAAATGTTAATGAGACACAACTAACTCTCTTGCTTTTTTGTTTTCTTTTTACCTTTAACTTATTTATTGTCACTTTTGTGATCAGCTTTTTAATGAAGTAGCACCTTATACCTATCAATGCCACATGATTTCAGAGTCCTTAATTTTGTGTTGACTGTGGTGCCAAGTGATACTACTTTAATGACATGGGCTAATGAGCTGGGTGCATGGTGCAGTTAACAAGGGCAGAGGTGCACAGGCTCACACTGGGATAGTCAGTACTACAGCACATTGTGGGTGATGCTTCATTTTAGCAAATCAGCACCCATATAATTAAATCAAAGCACGTCTTTTGAAAGTCATTAGCTTTGCGTATATTTAACATTTTTGTATTGGTTTTGTAGTTGGATATAACTTGATAGTTCATGATTTGTCAATAGCCTTTGGCACCTTCCACTGATGGACTTCAGAACATTCATTGCTCTATGGCATGTCATTGGAATGAGTCATTATTTATGACTCAGGCAGACAAAAGGCAAATCACAGGTTTAGTGGGCTTGGTATTATTAGGTCAATAGATTACAATTACCTGATGAATTTTTTTTGCCCAGCTATCACTAGGAGTAAAATGGACAGCATAAAAGTAGTTTCTTAGGGATTTTACTCCCAAACATTCAAACTCTGCAATCGCTGGTGCCTTAAAGTGTCATATAAACCAATAATGGGGAGCCTTCACTATTAGGAAATCAACAAGCATTTAATTGCCAATATAATATGTCTCTATTTTTTAGAGATGTGTGTTTTCCAGGGTTATTATGATCATTCCCACCACATACTGAAAAAACAAAACAGGTTAAAAAATTCCTCTCCTTATATGGGAGCAATCTTCTTGCTCTCTAAGGAACTCCGTCCAGAATTCTGGTCAATTCATACATTACCAACATTTCAAACATCTCTATCCTTACTAAGCATAAGCCCAGGCAACCAGTTTGGATTGGGGTAAGAGCCTTTATAGATAAAAGCTCTTAAGCTCTGAAGGATATTTTAATTATTCTAATAATTAATCTTCTAGAAGTTTCCAGGTATGTGATAGGTTTTGAAAATTAAAAAAGTCTTTAATGCTAGCAATAATCAGAAATTGAAGTTTAAAAAATACTACCCTTTTCAGTAGCATAAAAGTTATAAAATACTTAGACTAAATCTGAAAAAAAAAAATTCTAAACTGGTATACTGAACACTACAAATCATTGCTGTGAAAAGCTAAAGAAGACCAAAATAATATAGGAACATGTCATGTTAATGGATCAAAAGGCTCACTAGTTTTAAAATACCGGGTCTTTCCTCATATTGATTTTTCTCCTCATGGATAGATGCAGTGCAATCTGAATCAAATTCCCAGTAGACTTTTCTATATAAATTGCTAAGTGAATCTAAAATTCATATGGAAATGAAAATGGCCTATAATAGCTAAAACAACTTTAAAAAGAAAAACAAAGTCAGAGGGATAGCCAATTTCAGGACTTATTTTAAATTTACAGCAATCAAGACAGAACACCGCTGATGCAAAGAAAATTAGATCAATGGACGGAGCAGAATAAGGATATACAAATAGAACCACATATAATTGGACTTCCCACTTTCAACAAAGGCAATTCACCACTGGAATGGGTAAAATTTTAAAAACTGATCATACTAAGTATTTGTGAGTATAAGAAGGAACTGGAATTCTCAAACACTGCTATGAGGATATAAAATAGTATAGCCACTTTGAAAAACAGTCTGGCCATTCCTGGAAAAGTTTAATATACATCTACCATTTAATCTAGTTATTCTACTAGTTATTTACCCAAGAGAAATGAAAGTACGTATTTGTATAAAGTCAGAAATGTTCATAGAAGTTTCATTTGTAGCAGTCGAAAGTGGGAAAGAATCCAAATGTCCATCAACAGATGAATGGATAAACAAATGGATAGCCATACAATAAAGTCTATTTAGCAACACAAAACAATGAATTATTGATAGATGCAACAAAAGGGATGATTTTCAAAATAATTATGCCAAGTAAAAGAAACTAGGTTTTAAAAAAGACATACTGTATGACCACATTTATATAAAATTCTAGACACGCAAACTAATGTATAGAAACAGAATGTAGAACTGAGGGTGGGCAGAATGGGAAGCGGTGGGAAAAAGAGTTAGAAAAGCATCTAGTCCTTTTGGGCAGCGCTAACAAAATACTGCAGGCTGAGTGGCTTATAAGCGACAGAAATGTCTTGCTTACAGATCTGAAGTCTGGACGCTCCAGATCTGGACGCCAACTTGATCAGATGAGACTCCTCTTCTCTAGGTCTTAGACTTCCTGTGGCCTCAGGAGGTGGGAGGAGCTAGTCTCCCCCACCCAACCTCTTTTATAAGGATATTAGTTTGCCCAGGAGGGTTCTAGCCTCATGACTCAGCACCTCCCAAAGGCCTACATGCTAATACCATCACCTTTGGGGTTTAAGATTTCAACATACAAATTGGGTCGTATTCTGCAGAGTCTGCAGCCTGTCTCTCCTTTATTCTCCTGCAATCATCCCAGGCCAGGTAGGTTTACCATTGGTTCCAATTTAAAAAAGAATTTTGGAGCCCTTGGCATCATCTTCACAGGTTTTAATAGTAAACAGGGGAGATAAATTTGCAGGGAGACAGCAACTTGAGCCCCATCATCCCAGGGGTGACACTGCCTTTTTATCCCTTCCCTCCTAGGTTCAGGAATGCACATTTGCACAGGCAGGTGCACTCATGCTCCAGGTGTCCACAATCAGGCATGCAGGCCCCACACCCACACACCATCCTTGTTAACACGATCAAGGCCACAAGTGATAACCACAGAGGCTAGTGGCATAAAGAGCCTGATTAATGCATTTACCTTACACTCATGTATACTCCTTCCTGGGCAACCTCACTACCCCTCCACCCACTGATAACTCCTAAATCTCCACTGCAAACCATGTCCTCTCTCCTGAACTCCACGTTTCTCCCAGGTTTCCAATGAATATCTCTAAACCACTTCTAATTGGCTGAGTGAGAAACTACAAATCTTCCCCCATCCAAACCCGCCTGTATTCTGGTCTCAGTTTGTAGAACTACCATCTCCCCAGACATTCAAGGCAAGCATAGCACAGCAGATGGGAGCACAGACTCTGGATTTGAATCCTAGCTTTCTGACTCACAACATATGTGTCTTGGATTTACCTCTCCACGTCTTATTTATTTGTATAAGAAGTCCCCTCCTCGCATAGTTACTATGAAGATTAAAAACAATGATAAAAATATAAAATGTTTATAGTGCCTGACACATAGTGCTCAGTAATTATTGGATAGTATCATTGGCAACATCTACCTCTGTGTCTAATTATTCACCAAGGACCGTTCATGTCACCTCTGCAAGTCTTCCTGCCCCTTCTTTCCTTTCTCTCTATTGTCTTTATCTCAGACTCAGACTCTGGCATCTTGATAGTATGTTGAGACAGACTGCTTTCATCTCTTGTCTCTTCTTTATGCTTTAAAGTACCTCAGTGTTTCCTGAAGCCAGATCAGATCATGCATTTCCATGCAAAACACCTGTGATTTTCCAACCTTATTCAAATTTCACAGCCCTTAGAGGGCATTCAAGGGGCTGTAAACTTTGGGATTACCCCATTTTCATGTTCAGTTATTAAGACAATCTTTGACCTGAGCCCCAGATCACCTAGTTACTCTCAATTCCCCCCCATTCTCCATAAACCTCACCCTACCCTATGTCAGATCTTTTATTGAAGAAGCCTTTCCTCAGCTTCCCACCCCCAGGCCAGCTCAAATCTCATTTTTTTAATGAACTCAGCTCACTTCCCTAATTAGAATTAATCACTCTCTCCTCAATGCTTCCATTGCCCTTTCTATGTCAACCTAGAAGCTTACATTATTGTCATTTATATGTTTGCCTGTTCCTCTTACTTTGCCTAGGCTTCAAAAGAAGGCTTGCTGAATGGAATGAGAAGGAAAGAAAGAGCATGACAAACAGTCTTCCCAACAGCTGCCTCACATCTCCTTGTCAATGGCACTTGCTCATGGAGGAACTCTGTAGAGTGACATTTTACAAATTAGCATCCTGCTTAAGCTGAAAGAGTATCAGAGAGCCATCGAATGGAAGGCACACAAGAGTAACAGGAACAGCTCCACTCCTGCCTTGGTGGAGTGGGAGAAGACAAGCAACTAAAACAAAGCACAACACATGCTCACTTAATCTTGGGTGTTCTGATGACTCTTTGTGAAATGCATATACCTCTCTTCTGAGAGGAAGCTGTTCACTCTTGCCTACTCAGGAATGCCAGTCATGCATCCAGGGACTCTCTCCGTTCTTATTATTTTATAAGTCAGCTTCACAGCTGGCAGACTGCCTAGCATGCAGTCTTTGAGGGGATCGTTCAGGAGGCACCGACAGCAGCATGTCTGTGATGAACTCTGCCAGCTGCTGACCAAATGGGAACAGGGCATAGGATTTGAACATGAAAAGAGGAATGAACCCAAGAAGATTCATTTTCCTAAATCTCCAGGAGATTTTTTTTTTAAAGACTTATTTATTTATGCATACAAGAACTGTGGTGTAAGCCAGAGGTACAGGGGGTGAGAGGATTCACCAGAGAGAGTAGGAAGCAGAACAAGCAGATCCATTGAAACATACTGCAGAGGGGAGCAGCAGGTGAGGCAGGAGAGGTCTGCTGTGCCATGTGGGTAGCTCCCTGGCCAGCCGGGGATCGAACTTGTGCTGCAGTTGCTGGCAATAGCTTGATAGCACTGTCTTTAACCTCTGCGCCACCAGGGAGACCCTCCAGGAGATTCATATAATGTGGAAATAAATCTCATGGTTGGTTTTAATTAAGTAATTAAGTATCTGAAGGTTCTTCACTAAAGCAATCAATGGCAAGTGAACTTAGTCAACAAGGTGACAGCAACATGGCTTATTGCCCTTTATTTTCCCAGAAAGTTTGCAGTCACCACCGTCAGGGAGGGGCCACCTTCTGCTACCACTAATGGTGGGTCATAGAAATTAGTAAACAGAAGAAAGCTGAGAGTGCAAGCTACAAATGCAGCAGCAAAAACTGATGTACCGAAGGGAGAAGGAAAGGGAGCCATCATTACCACATCATGCCATCCTCTTTCTGTCTCTCCAGAGGACGGGGAGCATGACTTACTCTTCTTTGTACATTTGGCATCTAGTCATGAGGTTGGATTCTGTGGAATTAAATGTTTGTTGGATAAATGAATAAATGCGTGACCCTCTCAGAAAAGTATTCAGGGCAGAACATTCTCGAAAGAAGTGACACATTTGTATCAACTATGTATGATGGAAAATTTATTTTTTCTAGACACAAATTCATAGGTACACTAACGTGGCTGCTAAGTAATTTTTAACACTGAAATTTGGAAAATATAGGACAGATTCTTCCTACGTCTGGGCTTACGTAAGAAGAATATAGATCACAATCAGTTTTGCTTACAGTCAAGTACTTTTGATTCTAGGTAAGTGTCATTCCTGACTGACAGATAAGGAGTCATCTTTGGAAGGGCTTGGGAAATTCACCTTCAATTCCTCCGCACTTTGTTGCTGAGTTACAGAGTAACCTGCCTGCAATCCTCCTAGAATTCAAGGGCTGTTTAAATAGAGCAAAGTCCACAAAAAGTTCCAGCGACCTGTGCTGAGCAAAGGCCAGATTCCCAGAAGAAAATTAGTACAGACTCCGCGGAGAGCTGCCCATATCCCAGGTGCCCACCCCACTGGCCCCGGGATCTGTGCAAATGAAGATGAGCCCAGTGCTGTCGGAGTTCATGACAGAGCTCCCTGGCTGGTTCCTGCTCTCTGGAGTCTTCTTGCCCGTGACTTTGTTGCTGCTCCTTCTCATTGCCTACTTCAGGATCAAACTGATGGAGGGTAAGTGTGAAGCCACATAAGGCAGGGGTTAGAAGGCCTCCCACACGGCATGCCATTGGCAGAAGCAAACATGCTGACGTGTTTCTGGGAGGCCTGGAGAAATACATCTCTTTGATTTGTAGGTACCTCTCAGTAAGCTTTCTCTCAAGATATCTTCACTGGTGAATGTGGCAGAGTTTGATCCCTTCCGCAGTGTGGGTTATGCTGTAGGCTCTGAAAGCCTGCTGTAAGGGCCTCCGTACCTGTAGCCCCTCACAGACAAACTAAGTCAACAATTTTGACATGGGGTGGCTTGTTCTTGCTCTCAGGGAAAGATTTTTGCAAATATTAAATCATTTTTATGGCCTATCTTCTCTCCCTAAGAGCTGCATGTATGTTCCTGTCAGCTTGGGAACATACCGTTCTTTGTCAGCCACTTTAAGTTAAGAAAGGAGAAAGATAAATACTGGATGGTGTCTCTTATATGTGAAATATAGAGAAACCAAGCTAGAAGTTAAAGACAAGCTTAAAAAAATTAACCCTTGAAAGCTCACAATAAAACTGAAGTGTCCAGTGAAGAAGGTGCTGAGGGAAGGGTGAGAACAAGAAAAGAAAGTAGCACATCGGACTATGGTAGTGGACTATGCGTGAGTGGATGGTGGATACATTAGGGTTGCAATACCTGACAAGGGACCCCATAATTCCACAATATCAGCAATAATGTAAGCCTATGTTACCTCAATTTTAAAAGAGAGATCAAACAAACAAACTCATTTATCATTTGTCTCAAAAAAAAAAAATGGAGAGAGGAAGGAAGGAGGAAGGAAAAGAAAAAGTAGCAAACATTGTGCCATCAGTGTTAGGCACATGTCAGACACTAATAGATATAATTGATGATTTGGTGTAAGCTTCCCATGAGATTATAGTCTAAAGATACAAAAAACCCAAACAAATAAAAACAAAACAAAAACTCAGGAAAGTTAAAGTGATTTGGACACAGGCAGCTGGGTCCTGAAATGAGACTGTTTATTCTGCTGTAATTGAAATTAAAGAAATTGGACTGTGACTTGCTAAACTATGCAGCAAGCCGACTAATACCATAGACGCTAGTTGCCATTTTTGCAACATCAACAAAAAAGCAGTAATATTTCTTAAGGTGAGTGATATTATATTAGAGCACTAAAAAAACAGACTTCAAATTCCCTCTTCTTTCACAAAAATTTGGCAAGTTCAAGTGATGCCTCAATGGATTTTATGACATAAATAAGATATTCAGAATCTTGGGCATCCCTGATCGTGCAAGGGGTTAAGCACAGCACTATGAAGCTATCCGCAGCCTCCCTGGCCACCAGGGAGCTACCCATATGGCACGGCAGACCTCTCCTGTCTTACCTGCTGCTCCCGTCAGCAGTGTTTTTCAGTCA